CAAACGATGCGTCTTACAGGTGGTGTCGCTGCGGCTCTAGGCCTTTGCGCTGCTGCCTCCGCTTCTCTCCATCCTCATCGTTCCTACGAGACACATGATTACTTCGCTCTACACCTTGATGAATCCGCCTCGCCGGCCGACGTCGCTCAACGTTTAGGTGCTCGCCACGAAGGCCCCGTCGGAGAATTACCTTCACATCATACCTTTTCGATACCCCGTGAGAACAGTGACGATGTCCATGCGCTGCTGGATCAATTGCGCGATCGTCGGAGGTTACGCCGTCGCTCCGGAGACGACGCCGCTGTCCTTCCCTCCTTGGTCGGGCGAGACGAAGGTCTAAGTGGTATTCTTTGGTCTGAGAAGCTGGTCCCCCAGAGGAAACTTCATAAGAGAGTGCCGCCGACGGGATATACTGCCAGATCGCCTGTGAACACTCAGAGTGATCCTCAAGCGCTTGCGGCGCAAAAACGCATTACCTCGGAATTGGGCCTAGCGGACCCTATTTTCGGCGAACAATGGCATTTGTTTAATACCGTTCAGCTGGGTCATGATCTTAACGTGACGGGGATCTGGCTGGAGGGTATTACGGGGCAGGGTGTCACGACGGCTATTGTCGATGATGGTTTGGACATGTACAGCAACGATCTTAGGCCGAACTATTTTGCGGCGGGGTCTTACGACTATAACGACAAAGTACCGGAGCCGAGGCCGCGCTTGAGCGACGACCGCCACGGTACTAGATGTGCGGGTGAAATTGGTGCGGCGAAGAACGACGTGTGCGGGGTTGGTGTTGCGTATGATAGTCGCATTGCTGGTATTCGGATTCTTTCTGCACCCATTGACGATACTGATGAGGCTGCGGCTATCAACTACGCTTACCAGGATAACGATATTTACTCGTGTTCCTGGGGTCCTTACGATGATGGAGCTACAATGGAGGCTCCGGGAACCCTGATCAAGCGGGCCATGGTCAATGGTATTCAAAATGGTCGGGGTGGAAAAGGCTCGGTTTTTGTGTTTGCGGCTGGTAACGGTGCCATTCATGATGACAACTGTAACTTTGACGGTTACACCAACAGTATCTACAGCATCACGGTGGGTGCCATTGATCGGGAGGGTAACCATCCTCCGTACTCGGAATCCTGCTCGGCGCAACTGGTGGTTGCCTACAGCAGCGGCGCGAGTGATGCAATTCATACCACGGACGTCGGCACAGACAAGTGCTCGAGTACTCATGGTGGAACTTCGGCGGCCGGCCCGCTCGCTGCGGGGACTGTGGCGCTGGCCCTCAGTGTTCGGCCGGAACTCACCTGGCGTGATGTCCAATATTTGATGATTGAGGCGGCAGTGCCGGTTCATGAAGACGATGGTAGCTGGCAAGACACTAAGAATGGAAAGAAGTTCAGCCATGACTGGGGATACGGCAAGGTAGATACCTGGACGCTGGTGCAACAGGCAAAGACCTGGGATCTGGTGAAGCCCCAAGCCTGGCTCCATTCCCCCTGGCAGCGGGTTGAGCATGAGATTCCACAGGGCGAGCAGGGCCTGGCCAGTTCGTATGAGGTGACGGAGGATATGTTGAAGGGTGCCAATCTGGAACGGCTGGAGCATGTCACGGTCACCATGAATGTTAACCACACCCGCCGAGGCGATCTCAGCGTGGAGTTGCGGAGCCCTGACGGCAGGGTCAGTCACCTCAGTACGCCCCGGCGGCCGGATAATCAAGAGGTGGGCTATGTTGACTGGACTTTTATGAGCGTTGCTCATTGGTAAGTAATTCTTTCACTCGGTTGTTGGTCTTCATGCTAATATTCATCTAGGGGCGAGTCCGGAATTGGCAAATGGACTGTGATTGTCAAGGACACCAATGTCAACGAGCATACTGGACAGTTCATTGACTGGCGACTCAACTTGTGGGGCGAGGCGATTGACGCAGCCGAGCAGCCTCTTCACCCCATGCCTACTGAACATGATGACGACCACAGCTACGAAGAAGGAAACGTGGCTACCACGAGCATTAGCGCCATCCCCACGAAAACCGAGCTGCCTGACAAGCCCACTGGTGGCGTTGATCGCCCGGTGAACGTTAAGCCAACAACATCCGCGATGCCGACAGGTAGTCTGACGGATCCCATCGATGATGAGGAACTCGAGAAGACCCCTACGGCTGAGGCAAGCTCAACAGCAAGCCCTTCTCCGACCTCTGCGTCAGATAGTTTCCTGCCTTCCTTCTTTCCCACGTTCGGTGCCTCCAAGCGAACGCAAGCCTGGATTTACGCCGCGATCGGCTCCATCATTGTCTTCTGCATTGGTCTGGGCGTCTACTTCCATGTGCAACGCCGTAAACGCCTTCGCAACGACAGTCGGGATGACTATGACTTCGAGATGATCGAAGACGAGGATGAGCTGCAGGCGATGAACGGACGGGCGGACCGTTCACGTCGCCGGGGTGGCGAGCTGTACAATGCTTTTGCGGGCGAGAGCGACGAGGAACCGTTGTTCAGTGATGAGGATGATGAACCATATCGGGATCGGGGGATTAGCGGCGAACAAGAACGGGAGGGGGATGGAGAGCATTCTCGGAGATGAACGGCAAGTAGATGAGGGTTGATCTTATTTCGGACAGTGTTGCTAACTCGTTGGATGACCTGCGTTTGAACTATATTCCTGCTGTGTATGCTGCATAGAGAAAGCGTGTATATACCATGTATGTGTGCACCATTTTAAATCATTCCTTCATTGATTTATATCTATTCTTCATCTGCCGTAGTATCTAGTGGTGGTGATCTCCGGAGTAGAACCAAAGGAACACTAAATTAAGGGTCTTGGCGATGACGCTTCCCGTCGCTGCTTTTGACTTCCTCCGCATCTCTCGTCTCTCCTGCTGTTGACCGCCCGCCAACCAACCTCCATCTCCTCACTCCTCCCACCTTATCCTGCTGTCCTGCTTCTAGAACCCTCAGATTAATTTAAAAACCGGCTTTTCCTAGCTCCACGTACTGTACCTCGCACTGATCCCCATCTCCACCTACTCCAACGCTACCGATCTAGCCTTCTCTGCCGGCTCCAGGCGGCAGGCAACCCAACCACCCCCTCGATGGATCAGCACGACGACTTCGACAGCGTCTCATGGAGGCATGACCCGGACAGTGATCTCTCGCGACCTACGACTTCCGGGACAGATACAGAGGAACAGGAACCATACACTCACGATGTCAATGGCAAACGGAGGATGAGCAACGCTGAAGAGAGCCCCCAGGCTGGGCCACTGGCGGATGCCGTCGACCTGGCGGGTATCGGCGACGGTGTGCTAGAGTGCCGGGTAGATTCGCCGTTGAAAGAGAATGATGGGACAAAAGACGCTTATATTTCATATCTGGTTACTACTACGGTGGGTTGTCTCTGCCTTCAGTGGTCTCGAATGGAGACAAGTGTGTAGTTGCAGTGTTCGCTGACCAGAACTGTAGACCGATTTCAAGTCCTTCCAGAAACCCGAATTCACCGTGCGACGCAGATTCACCGATTTCTATTTCCTATACAAGACGCTTTATCGCGAATACCCTGCCTGTGCCGTCCCGCCGTTGCCGGATAAGCATAAGATGGAGTATGTCCGCGGCGATCGGTTCGGACCCGAGTTCACCACCCGACGGGCATGGTCTCTACATCGCTTCTTGAAACGGCTTACGCTGCATCCCGTGCTTCGGCGCGCGCCGTTGCTGGCCATCTTCTTGGAATCTCCCGACTGGAATGCACACATGCGGTTGCGGTCCACGCGCAACTCGACCAGCACCTCGGACGGCAGCGGGGTTCCTGGGATCTTTGACAACTTTACCGACACCTTTGTCAACGCTTTCACTAAGGTGCACAAGCCGGATAAGCGGTTTATTGAAGTGCGGGAGAAGGCGGATAAACTGGATGAGGACCTCAACCATGTGGAGAAGATTGTAGCCCGGGTGGCTCGGCGAGAATCGGATCTCGAGGCAGACTATAATGACCTGGCTACGCAGTTCCGCAAACTAGTGCCCCTAGAACCGGAGGTGGAGGTCCCCTTACAAGTCTTTGCAGCCTCGGTAGAGGAGACGGGGCGCGGGCTCAAGACGCTCAAGGATCACACCGATCAGAATTATCTGGGGTCGCTGCGGGATATGGAGGCGTACATTGTCTCGCTTAAAGCCCTCCTCAAGACGCGCGAGCAGAAACAGCTCGACTTCGAAGCGCTGGTCGACTATCGAAACAAGGCGGTGGCGGAGCGGGACTCCCTCGCCTCTAACCCCTCTTCCTACTATGCCTCCAACCCGCTGACCTCTTCCCCGGCCTCTTTCATCCGGTCCAAGATGGAGGACATGCGGGGTGTCGATCACGAGCAATCGCGACGCGAGCGGGTGCGGAAGTTGGAGCTCCGCATCGACGAGCTCACGCGCGAGGTCGAGTCGGCTAAAACGACGTCGGAGATGTTCGACGAGGAAGTTGTGCGCGAGGTGGCAGACTTCGAGCGCATCAAGGCCGTAGAGTTCCGGGATACGCTTGGAGCGTTGGCCGAGAAGCAGATCGAGTTCTACCAGGGAGTACTGAATACCTGGGAACGATTTGTGGCTGAGATGGAGGGCGATCTGGAAGAAGAGCATGACCCAGGCATGGAGGAGAGGTGATAACTTTTACTACTACTACTACAACCACCATTGCTACATTTAGGTACTACTGATTATGACACTGTGATATCGCACTAGCCATGTTTCTTTTTGTTCGCTTCATGAGGGTTTTGATTCTCTTATTACCATTACGGAAGGAGATTGTTGCTTCATGAATGAAATTATCATCACGACGTTGCATTCTCTCTCTGTCTTTCTTTCCACCTTTTACTCGCCCATCAGAACCCTTCCATTCATCCATCATCCTCAAACACCATGACCATGATTCCCGATTAATTCCCCACCAACCTCTCCCTAACCCTCTGACTCTCCGCCCACTCCAAATCAAGGGGGCTCGGATCCCTCTGCGCATTAGGGTCCACCACTGCCGGATCCAGCGCGCGAGTCGTATGTCTTCGCACGATATTCTACCACAGGGATACTCCTAATATCAGATACACCCTTGCGCAAGCACACACACAACCCAATAAACACATAGTAGATAACAATCATGCAATGAAATCAGGTATGGTACTAACCTCCCTATACACCTGATTCGGCGTCTTGCTTTTATTCTTGTCCTTGCGGGTGTCTTCACCATCATCCCCGGACATTAAGTGGAGGTAGACTTCATGGTCGTAGTCGATTCTTTGCGATGATGGGTTGGCGAAGTTGGCGGATAGATGGGGTCTTTCTTCTTGTGTTTGGGATTGGGATTTGGATTTGGATTTGGGGTTTTTAGTAGTAGTGGTGTTTGATGAGGACATTCTTCCTTCTTTCCTTTCTCGGTATGTATAGTATGGTAGTAGGGTTGTTATGTGAGTGAAATGATGGATATTAAAGTTAAAGAAAAGAAAAATTCAATTAAGTTGTAAGGCTGTGTCTGGTACTAATATATTTTAAAGTTCTTCAGGGTTTTACTAGTTATCTATTTTTTTTTTTTTTTTTTCAACCTTGCTTGAAGGGGGTGTTTTGCCTTTCTGCAGTAGTGGAGTTGGAATGGGTGCATTGTGGCGGAGTGAGTGCATGGTGGCAGTGGCAGTGAGAGTGAGAGTGAGATTTGGAGTCAGGAGGGGGATAGATGGCATGTTGCATTTTGTGGAAATTGGATGGTATGCTGAGATATGTATTTCTTGGATTGAATATTATGCAGGAGGAAAGTTAGTATTTGGGGGCGAGAATGAGTAGTTGCTTGGGGGTTTGAAAGATGACTTACACTTGATACTTGGTTAGTTAGTTGATGGACGCGGAATGATGTTTGCTCTGTTTGCTTTAGTATCTGGTGATGGCTTCACTTTCCCTTCCACTTCCGGCTTCTCGCTCTCTCTTCCCCGCTGTTCACTGCCCCATCTCTCATCATGCGTCCTCTCTCTCGGACGGCTCTCCGTCCCTACGTTTGCCCGTCTTGTCAATTGGGCCGTCTTCCTGCCCGCAGGAGATATGCCTCCCACTCGCCCTCCAACGCTACGGCACCCGAGATCTACGATGTCGTCTGCGTCGGCGGTGGTCCTGCCGGTCTAGGCCTGCTGGCTGCACTTCGTATGCTGCTCCAATGCGCTGTATACATTCAATTGGCGTCTCTAACTGACTTCTCTAGGAGCTAATCCTACCACCTCAAAGCTGAAAGTCGCCCTGGTCGAAACTCAAGACCTGAACAAAGCCCGCTCGTGGTCCCTCGATGCGCAGAACTACTCCAACCGCGTCAGCAGCCTGACTCCCTCCTCCGTCTCGTTCCTGAAGAAGATCGGCGCCTGGGATCACCTTGACACATCCCGCGCTCAGCCCTACCAGGAGATGCAAGTTTGGGATGGCGAAACCGGCTCGCGCATCTCCTTCGACTGGTCCATGGAGACCTCTCCGTTCGAAGACCTCCGCACCGTCGCGACCATGACCGAGAACTCCAACCTCGTTCGCGCCCTCCTCTCCCGCATCGCAGCCTCCGGAGATGACAACCTCTCCCTCTTCTCCAACAGCACCGTCTCCTCCATCACCAATGGCACCGATACCCCCGACGGCCCCGATCTCTCCGCCTGGCCCGTCCTCTCCATCACACCCACCAACACCACCACCACCCAACCGCCCACCCGCATCGCCGCGCGCCTCCTCGTCGGCGCAGACGGCATCAACAGTCCTGTCCGCCGCTTCGCCGACATCGCCACAGACGGATGGGACTACAACCGACATGGCATCGTCGCGAGCCTCTCCCTCGCCGACCTAGACCCCGCTCCGTTCCCTCTCGGAATGAGAACCGCCTACCAGCGCTTCCTCCCCTCCCTAGGCGGTCCCATCGCCCTACTCCCCCTCCCCAACAACAACGCAACCCTCGTCTGGTCCACGACCGTCGAAAACGCCGCCTACCTCAAATCCCTCTCCCCGAAGGCCTTCATCTCCATGGTCAACGCCGCCTTCCGCCTCTCCATGACCGACCTCCAATACATGCTGCGCATGGAACGCCCCTCCTCTACTACAACCGAGAACCCCTACGAAGACGAACTCAGCTGGCGCCTCCAACACACCCCGCAGCCCTCCCACCTCCCACCCATGGTCACAGGCGTCCAGGAAGGCAGCGTGGCCTCCTTCCCCCTCCGCTTCCGCCACGCCTCCACCTACGTCTCTCCCCGCGTGGCTCTCGTCGGCGATGCCGCGCACGTCATCCACCCGCTCGCCGGTCAGGGCTTGAACCTGGGTCTGGGCGACGTGGCGTCCCTGGCGCAGACGATCGAGTACGCCGTGCACCATGGTATGGACGTGGGTGATTTGCTCACCCTTGAGCGGTACGCATGGGATCGGTACGGCACAAATGCGAAGATCGGCGGTGCTTGTGATGTTCTGCATAAGTTGTATAATGTTCCGGGCAATGGACCTGTGGCGTGGGCGCGCAGTCTGGGATTGGATGTAATTGATCGGGTGCCGTTTGTTAAGGGGTTGTTGATGAAGGGGGCTGAGGGGTCGTAAATCAACCTATGTGTTTATTATGAGGTAGGGAGGGGGTATGTGTATTATTATTTTTTCTTTAGCAGTACTTCAATCATTTGTTCAAGTGTATGATTTGACTACATGTGTGCAGTATATCAATTCTAGACTCCAGACTACTCACTACCTTAGATGATAACATATTAATACTGTAAGAAAAATGAAGCACTAATGAACCCACAAATTGAACAAAAAGGTATACAAATAGTAAAGAATAATCTCGCTCCAATTCGACTGCTATCTATCTATACCACATCAAGACAAAAGCAACAAATGAAACGCGAGAGATAAAATGAAAATAAACCCCCGGGTATTGTGTTTTAGAACATCTTCGTTAATTTTTTCTTTTCCTTCCCACCCTATACTTTTTTCTTTTAGGGAATTGAACGCTCTTGGCACAAATAAGTTAAACCCATCTAAGCCCCGTATATGGTTTCCCATCTTTATGCATCAACCTTCATCTCACCCAACTGCTGTGCAACACCCTCGACACTCTCTCCCCGCTTCTTAGCCACCCGGGCCTTGACCTCCGCCGGCAGAGCAGTCAGATCGACCAGAACACCTTCCTTCTCGGGGTGTCCGTCCTCCAGACCCATTTCCTTGACGCGGACCTTGCCGGCCGCGAGTTCGTCCTCGCCCAGGATGACGGCGAAGGGGACGCCGGCTTGTTCGGCGGCCTTGAATTGTTGGGGGAGCTTGGGCTTGACCTTGTAAGAGAATTCGGCCTGTAGATTATTATTATTATTAGTATATACGTTCAGGAAGGGAGGGAGAGGGTATGTGGGGGAGGCTTACCTTGACGCCAGAATTCCAGAGAGTCTGGCACACGCTCATCCGCTCCTTCAGCATACCAGTGAAGCCCTTACCACCAAAGGCCATCACATAGGCGTCGACCTCGCTGCTGCGGAGGGCCTCGGCGCTCTTCTCACGCTCGAGACGGGCCTTGGTGATGGAGAAGATACGGTCCACACCGAAGGACACACCCACGCAGGGAATCTGCGCCTTGGGCAGGAACATGCCCACCAGGTTGTCGTAGCGACCTCCCGCGGCGACACTGCCGACACCCAGGGTCGGGTCGTTGGAGCGGTCGTCGTCTTCCGAGTTGCCGCCCTTGGACTTGCTCTTCTTGCCGGACTTCTGCACGGCCTGGGCCTCCGGAGCGGAGGACGCCACGGCGGGGGCGGAGCCCTCGGTGACAACCTCGTAGATAACACCGGTGTAGTAATCGAGACCACGGGCCAGACTCATGTCGAAGGAGATCTTGTCCAGCACGCCGAATGCCTCAAGGTAGTCCATGAGCAGACCCATATCTTCGAGACCGGCCTTGGCGGACTCGTTGGCCGTCAGGCCCTCATCCTTGAGGAGGTTCTCAAGGAGTTCGCGACCACCCTTGTGCATCACGTATGTCTCGATCTTATCGGCCACGGCGCCGTCCAGACCCTTCTCCTCGACCATTTCCTTGCGCACATCCGCCCAGGGCATCTTGTCTAGCTTGTCGACGGCACTGGAGATCGGACGGATCTTCTCCTCGGGCACGCCGCAGACCTGGAAGACACCGTCGAGGATCTTCCGGTGGTTGATCTTGATGTTATAACGACCGTTCCAGCCCAGCTCCTCGAAGACTTCGGTGACGATGCGCAGGATCTCGGCATCGGGGACCATGGGGTCGAAGGTACCGGCGATATCGAAATCGCACTGGTAGAACTCGCGCATGCGACCCTTGCTCACGGCGGGCTGATCGCGACGGTACACCTTGGCAATGTGGTAGCGCTTCATGCTGCGGACGTCCGGGTTCATGGCGAGCCAGCGGGCGAAGGGGACGGTAAGATCGTAGCGGAGGGAGCAGATTTCTCCACCCTGGTCCTGGAGGTCGTAGATGAGCTTGGAGTCCTCGCCATACTTACCGGCGAGAATCTCGCGCAGCTCGAAGACGGGGGTGTCGAGGGCAGTACCGCCATGGCGCTTGAAGACGTCGGCGATGGTGGAGAAGATGCGGTCGCGGAGAAGGGCGTCGGAGCCGGACCAGTCCTTCGTACCCTTGGGGGTCTTGAGATTGAAGGAGAGCTTGGATTCCTTTTCTTTGGGCATGGTGGAGAGCGAACGAGAGGGATGGGGGAGGGGAATGGAGGGGGAAGAGGAGGGAAAAGTCGAGTGGGAGAGGGAGATGTGGTAGTGGCGGTGGTGGGGGATGGTGGGGGCTTCGATCGCCTGCCGGATGTTTGGCCGCTCTCTGGTTTGGTGCTGCTGAAGGCTACTACCGCTCCTGTTGGTGCTGGTGCTGGTGCTGCGTCTGCAACTGCTCGCTGGGGCCCGGGGATACTCCGTCAAAGCTCGTCGGGCGGAGCGGAGAATGCGTGGTTGGAGTGAGGGGTGCATTCAAGGAATTGATGTCGGACTCTCCCGTGCGAACCGGCGTTATAGACGGGCAGCCTTGAATTCAGGAGCAAAAGATGTTTGGAGGTAAAGTCGAAGTCGGCGAATCGGTGGTTGAGATTCGTGAGTCAGACAGTGCATATACAAGGTAGTCTATGTATGAGTATAGAGGTCATTACTCTTATCAAATTGACACTTTGGCCGAGTGGTTTAAGGCGCAGGCCTGCTACTACCTTATCGTACTAGCTGTTTAGCCTGTGGGTTCGCCCGCCTGGGTTCGAGTCCCAGAGGTGTCGCATATTGCTTTTTGATTTTTCTTTTTTTTTTTTTTGTCTACCAGCATCATGACCCCAGAATATATGCATTTCTTTCAGCCAATTTTTGGTTCATAGAGTTGGTTTCTTGCTATGCTTTGATAGATCACCAGCCACCATGCCCAGCGCTGCGACTTGTTTTTCCGCCCCCTGGCGATGTAGCAGGGATCATAACAAGTCACATCGTAGCTGGAATGCTGGCTAGATCTACACATTCCTGGTCCACATTGAGAACCTCGTGGCTACGAACGATGCGAGATCGAGGCTGCAAGCGGCAAGAGGTTATTAATGGCCTCAGGCTTATGACAACGCCTAAATTTGGTGGTAAATATTAAAAAAGGTGTCATTTCAAGCACTGTTCGGTATAAGGGTCAATCACAAACTGATGCTACCCAGAAACAAACTGGCCGAGTCGTGGAGTTCTCCTGCCAAGGAAGTATTAATAGTTACAAGTATAGCAGGAGATACTTCGCAGTAAATTAGAAATCGTCACTGAAGGGACACCTTAGGAGGAATGTCCATCCGGCTCAGTAGATCACCGAATGGGGCATGCGACAAGTTTCCTGTCTTACACGGTTATACAACGTAGTAGTACGGGAGAACTAACTCCCTGCCAGTAAAGCAAATGAACACCGCCCTGGTTGGTAGTTGTCATGGGGGTGCCTTCTTTACTCAGATTCGGATTCGGTCCCATTCCGCCATCCGACCGAGGGCGAAGAGCCAAGTAAACCCGAGTACAAAGCCGCAGTCACCACTGCTACTTACTACTACTTAGCACTACATCCCAGAACCTGTCCCACTCCCAAGCCCCAGCCCCCCCCCCCCCCCCCAAACTGGTTTTCTACTCGCCATTCCAGCCAGAAACCCTGACCACCCGTTATGGTCCTACCTATTCCAAGATCTGCCCCCGTGGTAGATTCAAGCACATGGATAGTATCAACCCACATGGACAGAGGCGCTTATTGGCGGGGGAAACGGTGGCTTGATGTGAGGCAGACCGGCACATGGGGTGATGTTACACTTTGTAATTTGCACACCTGATGTCTGTAAGTATTGTGTTTTTTTTGTCCGGTTTGACCAGGCACACTAAATGCCCTGCACACCTCCATCCCAGTAGCAGTAGCAAAACCTACTCTTACTTCGGACTAGACTCCGGAGTAGACCGAGCGCGGTGGAAGGTTCCATTTAGACGCCCGCAGCTTTTAGTGCAGGCCCTAGTGCCCCCATGTCCACCCAATGACGTTATGGCCTGTTCTCAAGGATCTTCCCCAAAGGCCATTGATTTGTCGCAGGCTTGAAACCCAGATCCATGGTGCTTATCAATTGGCAGTTTAATAAGCTAAACCCGGGTTATGATGTTACCTAGTTAGTAGTTATCTGGCGCTTTATCGGGCTGAACGGACACAGAGCGGATGCTATCGGTTACGCCGTAAATCGTTGGTCTTCATAACTTTCACAGTATTCATGGTTGAAATTGCAAGACCAGGCTGCGTTATGTTTTTTATGCACGCGTATAAATTATGGTTTCACTGCCGAACCCGATCCGATTTAACTTTACCACGGATGCAAGTGGCAGCTGTTGTTCCTTGACAGAATCGGAAACCGACACGAGTGTCACTCACTGGAACGGAATGGAGAACCAAACCCTGCTCCTTATGGGTGTGTTTGTGTGTACTGTGTAAGGCACAATTACATCCGCTCCGTACAACGCCGTCGGTCTGTATGACGCTAGTATCTCAAATGCTGGGGTGGATGGGGTATGTGGGGCGGAATAAATTATGCGATTGGTCACAGGGCACCCTTCTGATCCTTGAGTTTCCACGTGGTTCTGGTGTAGCGTGATACGGTATGTATGACATCGTACCTATCCCTGTTCGCTTTGTGTACACTAACATCGTAACCGCTTACTAGGTGGTACTGATCTTATCTAATAATGGTGTGGCCCCGACCGTACCCCAGAAAGAGGGGGAAAGAAAGGTACAACGTTGTAGTTCAAGAACGCAGATGACGATTGCATGGTACTACAACTGGAAATGGCAAAGTTAATATTGAATAAGAACTGGATCGGAATGCTCGAGGGGTCTCCTGACCCCCATAGCAAGTGCCCCTGGTACCTCCCCGCCCCCTTGGGAAAAGCAAATACCCCGGACAACAAATGCACTGCGATAACTTGCCAACATGAAGCCACCGCCAAGAACGCCGCCAGGCCGGACTAATTGCTAAAATCACGCAGTTTATCCCGCGTCCACGACCGCTCGATAAATAGACTGCTGAGATAGCTGTGAGTGCTGGTTGATTCCAGCATCTCCTCCCTCTATCTATCTATCACTCATACTAGTCACGGCTATTGCTAACGCA